TGTCTCCCTCACAGCGGATTCAGTGGTCAGGGGCAGTTTGACGATGGCATAGTGGTCAGGCTTGTTTCTCCTAGCGGTGCTCTTCTGAGGATATTTGGGCTGCCAGAATCTGAGTGACATACAGATCTTTGTTGTGGGTGTGGACACCTTTCAGCACTGCCTTCTTGGCATTCAAAGCCTTTGCCTTGGCTTTGGCTTCAGAAGCGGGAGGAGCTTCTGTCTTTACCTTTGGTGCCGTCTTGGTTTGTACTGTTTTTAGATGGTGAAGGGAAGAAGAAAAATATAAGTTTTTTTGGTGCAAAAAAAATTTTTTAAGTAATTTATTTGAAAGGTAGAGAGACAGATAGAGAGACAGATGGAGAGCTCCCATCTGCTTGTTTACTTTCCAAATGCCTGCAACAACCAGGGCTGGACCAGGCAAAAGCCAGGGGAGAGCTCAGTCTGTGTCTCCCCTGTGGGTGGAAAGGGAACCGAGCACTTAGGCCATCACCTGCTGCCTCCAGGGTGCTTGTTAGCAGGAGACGGACATGGAGATCAGAGCTGAGAGTCAAACCCAGGCACTCCAGCAGAGGATGCAGCCACCGCAAGTGCTGCACCAAGTGCTCTCCTGAAGGTGCAGAAGTCTTTTGAAACCCATATTCAAAAAAGTTCACGGACAACCATCATGAAAAAAATTTACATAAATTTCAAAAAAAATTTTTGCACCAGTATTTTTTTTTCTTTTTAAGTTCTTTATTTTTTTAAAAAAAGATTTCATTTATTTATTTGAGAGGTAGAGTTACAGACAGTGAGAGGGAGAGACAGAGAGGTCTTCCATCCGCTGGTTCACTCCCCAAATGGCAGCACCGGTCAGAGCTGCGCCGATCCGAAGCCAGGAGCCAGGAGCTTCCTCCAGGTCTCCCACGTGGGTGCAGGGGCCCAAGGACTTCAGCCATCTTCCACTGCTTTCCCAGGCCATAGCAGAGAGCTGGATCTGAAGAGGAGCAGGTGAGACTAGAACTGGTGCCCATATGGGATGCTGACACCGCAGGTGTTGGATTAACCTGCGCCACTGCACCGGCCCTCAGCATTTCTATTTAACTCCAGTTTCCATGAACTTTTTGAAGTGTCCTTATAGCTGTGAATATGGATTTGTTTTGCAGTATTTGAGAGTGAATGCCCAAGTCAGACTGAGTAGAAATTCCAACTTTTTCACTTAACCAGGTTTTTGATCTTTGGTGATCTCCTTAATTTCTCTCAACTTCTATTCTTATTTATAAAAATGGAGACAGTGATAGTTCTTACCTCATAGAATCTTTTTTTTTTGTTTTTTGAGTTCTATTTATTTGTTTGAAAGGCAGAGTTACAGACAGGCAGAGGGAGAGAGAGAGAGAGAGAGAGATCTTTCATCCTGTGATTCACTCCCCAAATGGCTGCAAGGCCATAGCTGTGCCGATCTGAAGCCAGAAGCACGGAGCATCTTCCAGATCTCCCACCTCAGTGCAGAGGCCCAAGGACTTGGGCCATCTTCCACTGCTTCCCCAGGCCATGGCAGAGAGCTGGATCGGAAGTGGAGCAACCAGGACTAGAACTGATGCCCATGTGGGATGCTGGCACCACAGGTGGTGGCCTTATCAGCTATGCCACAGCAGCGGCCCCCCTCATAGAATCTTTAAAAGAATTAAAGGATGAAATGTGTTTAAAGTATAAGATACCACTTGGAACATGACAACTACTCAGAAAAATGTTAACTTTCATGATATGATTGCTGTTTGTCATGGGACGTGGATACTCCTTATGTCTGCCTCTTCATTCTCCCTCTTGTCTATGAAATTCTTTCTGCTTGCATTGCCACCTTCCTCCTGGATTATTGCAATAGCTTCTTATTCTGTCTCTACACTCCTAGTTGGAGGGAGAGCCTATTAAATGGTCTAAATTTGAGTCAGTGGGTGTAATTGAAGACTATCTATTGAAATTGAGAAGAACAAGATATTGGGCATCTACCAGAGTTGTTTCTTGGGGGAACAGCAATTGCAGCACAGACATGGCCAAGTCCAAGAACCAAGGAACATACAACCAGTCCTGATATTGTCACAGAAATGGCATCAAGAAACTCTGATGACAAAGATAGAAGTCTCTTAAGAGGGGTGGACCCTGGGTTCCTGAGACACATGTGTTTTGCAAAGAAGCACAATAAGAAGAGCTTGATGAACATACAGACTAACGATGCCAAGGCTGTCAGTGCACCTGTTTAGACTGTCAAGGCCCTGCTCAAGCCTAAGGAAGTTAAGTCCACAGTGGCAGAGGATGTCAGCTGCAGGCTCAGTTGTCTTGTCTACAACGCCCACCCCAAGCTCAACAAGCAGTGCTTGTGCCCACTTTGCTAAGGGTGCCAGGCTGTTGTAGCCAAAGGCCAAGGCCCTGGCTCAAACCAAGTCCAAGGACCAGGCTCAGGCTATAGCCGTGCTCCAGTTTCAACTCAGACTCTGGCTCTGGCTCCCAAAGGTGCTCAGGCCCCCACTAAAGCTCTATAGTAACAGCTTGTGTCTGCCAGTGTGAAGACAGAAGGACTGGTGTGACCCCCCTGGGCTTACATCTGAATGGGGCTAATGTTCTGGTGTGCTGTTTGTACAAATAAACCCGAGGAGAGGTGAAAAAAATAAAAATGTTTCATGGCCCTGAGATCAGAGACACGAATGTGAATTGAGTGCCTTCATTATACTTCAGAATTTCCTGTAATAGTTTTCTCCAGCCACAGTTGGGAGAAGAGAGAGTAGATGAAGGCTGTCCAGGGTTGGAGATGTTTATGAACACATGGAAGGGAGAGAGGGCAAGGATCCTAGGAGAGTGAGGTGAAGTGGCTGACTGGAGCCCTTTGAACTTGGACTGGGGAGAGCAGGGAAGGGTGACTGACAACAGAGTAAGGTTGACAAAGAGTCACTGAGGAAGGGAGCATGGATGAATAAACTCTGGGGTGTTCACACATGGACAGCAGTGCGTGGGCTTGAACTAATGCTAGGCAAGAGTAGCAAGTTGCAGAGGAATACCATTTATATAAGATTTTTAAAAACATGCAAACAATTCTGTTTATTTCCAGAACTTACCTGAGATCTTATTGCCAGGACTTCAGGCAGAATTTCTAGGCTTCCAACTCATGATAGATTAGAGAGTGAATCAAAAGTTACCCTAGGCCGGCACCGTGGCTCAATAGGCTAATCCTCTGCCTTGTGGCGCCGGCACACTGGGTTCTAGTCCCGGTTGGGGCGCCGGATTCTGTCCCGGTTGCCCCTCTTCTGTGGCCCAGGAGTGCAGTGGAGGATGGCCCAGGTCCTTAGGCCCTGCACCCCATGGGAGACCAGGATAAGTACCTGGCTCCTGGCTTTGGATCAGCGCGGTGCGCCAGCCGCGGCTGCCATTGGAGGGTGAACCAACGGCAAAGGAAGACCTTTCTCTTTGTCTCTCTCTCTCTCACTGTCCACTCCGCCTGTAAAAAAAAAAAAAAGTTACCCTGTACAATAAATGACCCATTGGTGAGTTTGGAAGAGATACAGAAGTACTAAATTTGATATGGAAAAGGATAAAAAGGCATGTGAATTTAGTTAAAATTAATACAGGGTAAAAAGTCTTCTGCCTAAATAGTACTATCAAAGCTGATCTTCATGGCTGGCGCGGTGGCTCACTAGGCTAATCCTCCACCTAGCGGCGCCGGCACACCGGGTTCTAGCCCTGGTTGGGCCGCCGGATTCTGTCCTCGTTGCCCCTCTTCCAGGCCAGCTCTCTGCTGTGGCCAGGGAGTGCACTGGAGGATGGCCCAGGTCCTTGGGCCCTGCACCCCATGGGAGACCAGGAGAAGCACCTGGCTCCTGCCTTCGGATCAGTGCAGTGCGCTCGCCGTGGCGACCATTGGAGGGTTAACCAGTGGCAAAAAGGAAGACCTTTCTCTCTGTCTCTCTCTCTCTCTCACTGTCCACTCTGCCTGTCAAAAAAAAAAAAAAAAAAAGCTGGTGTTCATGATTATGACCTCATGCCATCAAAAGTTAATTTGAGGGCCAGCATTGTGGTGTGATGAGGTAAGCCACTGCCTCTGACACTGGCATCCCTGATGGCACCTGGCATTTCTGATCTGGCTTCCATGTAGGAGACCTGGAGGAAGCTTCTGGCTTTGGCCTGACTCAGTAGTGGCTGTTGCCACTGTTGGGGAGTGAACCAGAGGATAGAAGAGCTTTCTCTCTCCGTCTCTCCCTTTCTCTCTAACTCTGCCTTTCAAATAAATAAAAATAAAATCTTTTAAAAAATTTCTAAGAGTTATTTTTAAAAATATTTTTTAAAAAAAGTCAGTGTAAGTTTGCCTATCTTTCAGTTTAACAATCTTAATTGATTTTATGATTCTAGAATTGGGCAACACTTCATTCCATAAAATATAATAAGTGTTCCTAGTATGTTGCTTGTATAAAAAGAGGATATATGATTATTTTAAGATTTTCATGAAAATGTTTAAGTTTTTTGTTGTTGTTGTTTTTTAAGATTTATTTGAAAGTCAGACTTACCAAGAGAGAGAGAGAGATCTTCCACCTGCTGGTTTATTCCCCAAATGGCCACAACAGCTAGGGCTGGGTCAGGCCAAAGCCAGGAGTTTCATCCAGGTCTCCCATGTGGGTTCAGGAGCTCAAACACTCAGGCCATCCTCTGCTATTTTCCCAAGCACATTAGCAGGGAGCTACATCAGAAGTAGAGCAGCTGGGACTCAAATTAGCACCCATATGGGATGCTGGCTCTGTGGACTGTGGCTTAACCCACTGTGCCATGACACCTGCCCAATGGTTATGATTTTTAAAAAAAGCTTTTAGAAACTAAATGGAGTAAGCTTCATGTATTTGGAAAATTCTTTTATGTGGAATACTTCATGTTTGTATTTGAATAAAGAATTATAGTACAAAACAAGAGATGGCTGGGGAGATAAATAACAATATGTAATTATTGCTTGAGATATATTAATATACTTTTTTGCTTTGTTCTGACAGATTGTTTGGCAAACAACAGTGAAGAATTATCAAACAGCACAGTACATTTCCTCAGTCTGTTTAATCACACTTTGACCTGCTTTGAACATAATCTTCAGGTATTTTATAAATTATTTTATAAAAAAACTAATTTTGAGAAGGAGGGCTGGGAGTAAGCGAGAGAGAGAGAGAGTGAGAGTGAGAGAGAGAGAGAGAGAGAGCACACTATCATCAGTGGTCTACTCCCCAAGTGCTTACAGTGGCTGAGGGTGGGCTGAGCTGAAGCTGGGAGCTAGGAGCTCACTCCAGGTTTCCCACATGGATGGCAGGAACTCAATTTACTTGAGCCGTTGCCATGCCTCCCAGTCCTACATTAACAGGAAGCCAGTGTCAGAAGCTGGGAATTGAACTGAGGTACTCCAACCAGTTGGGGTGTGGGCATTTTTTTTTTTTTAAGATTAACTTATTTATTTGAAAGGCGGAGTTACAGAGAGAGAGAGAAAGAGAGAGAGAGAGAGATCTTCTGCCTACTGGTTCACTCCCCAAATGGCTGCAACAGCCAGGGCTGGGCCATGCCAAAGCTAGGAACTCCAGCCAGGTCTCCCCCATAGCTGGCAGGGGCCCAAGCACTTCGGCCATCTTCTGTTGCTTTTCCTGGGCACTTTAGCAGAGAGCTGGATCAGAAGTGGAACAGCCAGGAGTTGAACCAGCACTCATATGGGTGCCGGCATTTCAAGCCATTGTTGAACCTGCTGTGCTGTGCCATCCCTGGATGTGGGCATCTTAACTGGGGTCCTAACTGCTAGGACAAATGTTTGGCCTCAAATATGTTGTACAAATAAATAATGTATACTTCCAAGTTTTTATAGCATTAGTTGTTGATAATTATCTATACCCATGATATAGAGGAATTAATGGACCTGGGTTTTTTGCTATTAAGTAATTCTCATTACAAATCATTGAGATTTCAGTTCTCTCATTTGAAATAGTAATTTCTTCACTGCCTACCCTCAAGTATTTTGTAGTGAGGATCTAGTGAGATGATGAGTGTAAAAGCATTAAGGGAGGCCTGTGAGTGTTTAATTAAAACCCAGTGTTGGGGCCGGCGCCGCGGCTCACTAGGCTAATCTTCCGCCTTGTGGCGCCGGCACACTGGGTTCTAGTCCCAGTCGGGGCGCCGGATTCTGTCCCAGTTGCCCCTCTTCCAGGCCAGCTCTCTGCTGTGGCCAGGGAGTGCAGTGGAGGATGGCCCAAGTGCTTGGGCCCTGCACCCCATGGGAGACCAGGATAAGTACCTGGCTCCTGCCATTGGATCAGCATGGTGCGCCGGCTGCAGCGCGGCGGCCATTGGAGGGTGAACCAACGGCAAAAGGAAGACCTTTCTCTCTGTCTCTCTCTCTCTCACTGTCCACTCTGCCTGTCAAAAAAAATAAATAAATAAATAAAAAATAAAAAACCAGTGTTGTTCAACCTGTGATTTACCTTGACTGTGTTCATGCAGTAATACGGTATTTTTTGTAGTGTATTATTATTCCGTCTACAGGCAGCTTATTCTTTGGCATCAATAGCTGCTTAAATATGTTTTCCCTACTTTAGAAGGCACTGTTTACTCAGGAAACTTTGTGTGTTGAATTATGATATAAAAGGGAGCCTTTGAGGAGCCTACCTTGAGGATTTTTGTTGCCTCCGTCTCTGACCCTTGAATTTTGGAATCAGAACTTACATGGTACTGAAGGCAAGAGTGGAACTCTGGTGAAGTTGTAATTTTGAATCTTGCAGAACAAGTGAATAACCTCCATAAGAAGATAGAATGATGTTTAGGATATAAGTATGTATGATTTCTTCTTTACTAAACGTGATAACCCAGAATTATTAATTTCCATGAGAGTAATAAAAATTATTAGGAAAGTATTTCCCAAAAATGTGTTCTGTAAGGTGTTAACAGATAGACTATTAAAATGGTTTAGTATTCTACTAAGATTTAGAGAGTGTGTTGTGAAACTATAAATGGTTATTTTTATATACAGTGTTTATCAAATCTGTTATTAGGCCAGGGAACTCTTTGGTTTAAGATAGTGTTCTAGGGACTGGCGTTATGGTGCAGGGAGCTAAGCTGCTGCTTGCATTGCTGGCATCCTACATGAATGCAGGTTTGAGTCCTGGCTGCTCCACTACCAGTCTAGCTCCCTGCTAATGTGCCTGGGAGGGCAGCGGAGGATGGCCCAAGTCCTGCCACCCACATGGGAGACCCAGATGGAGTTCCAAGCTGGCTGTTAAGGGAATGAACCAGCAGATGGAAGATCTTTCCCTCTAAAGGGATGACGATGAGATGGAGAAGACAGGGAAGAACTGGCTGTAGGGAGTGGGGGCTCAGGGTTCTGACTTGAATGTGTGGAGTCCACAATGCCTATCAGACATCCAAGATGAGATGTCAGATAACGTTACAAATGAGATTGGAGCTCAGGACAGAGGTGCAAGCAGGAGAGAGAACTTTGGGAGTTACCAGGTACAGATGATATTTACGGCCATGAGACTAGAGAGTGGGCATGGAGATGATAAGGAGGCCCAAGCACTGAGTCTTGGCGTGATCTGGTGTTTCAAAGGAGCGTATGAGCAGGGCATGGAGCCAGATTTGTAGTAGCAATGAAATCGGGGCTAGTGGCCAGGCAGTGGCTTCCAGCCCAGCTGAATGTTCGGAAGATGGGTGTAAGTTTCATACGAGGTCCAGCTTGGGTGAGTTTGCAGATGGCTTCTTTGGAAACTTGGGCTGTCCTGGTGACTGTGGAAAGGCAGCTTTCTGTGGAATCAATCCCTCCAGCCTCCTGCTTCTCTGGACACTGGTGGGTGGTGGCAGGGGGTGGAGGTCTGGCAGTTTCTGTGGAAGTGATACGGCAACTGTAGTACCTCCTCTTCCAGTGATGATGTGTGCTGGTTGCACCTTTGTATTTTACAGAGCTTTTCAAGTGCCCGGGTTTAGCCTTCAGTTTTTTTTTTTTTTTAATTTTTTTTAAAAAAAATATTGATTGACTGCTTTGCAAGGATTAGTGACAGAAAGGAAGAGACACAGAGAGAGAACAGCTGGGCCTGGGCCAGGCTGAAGCTAGTAGCTGGAATTTCACTGGGGTCTACCATGTGGGTAGCAGGGACAAAAGTACTTGCACCCTCACCTGCTGCCTTCCTGGGAGCATTAGCAGGAAGCTGGATCAGAAGCAGAGTAGCTAGGACTTGAACTGGCGCTCTGGGATGGGATACGACCATCCCAAGAGAGGGCTGAGCCTGCTGCACCACAACACCTACCCCAGGAAATCAGGAGACAAGGCATATGCTATGTCATCACTTCCTTGAATCCTTTCTCATTAATTTTTCTTAAAGATTCATTCCATTCATTTGAGAGGCAGAGTTACAGGCAGAGAGAGGGAAAGATAGAGAGGTCTTCCGTCCACTGGTTCACTTCCCAATTGGCTGCAATGGCTGGAGCTGCACCGATTTGAAGCCAGAAGCCAGGAACTTCTTCCAGGTCTCCCACGTGGGTGCAGGGGTTCAAGGACTTGGGCCATCTTCCACTGCTTTCCCATGCCATCAGCAGAGAGCTGGATCCAAAGAGGAGCAGCCGGAACTTGAACATACACCATATGGGATGCTGGCGCCACAGGTGGAGACCTAACCTACTGCACCACAGCACCAACCCCTCTCATTAATTTTTAAAATGGGCGTAACTTTTCCATTGATCTAGCTAGTCTCTATATTGATGAAGATGTTTGGTTAAGTGTTTTACAAACTGCTGCCATAGACAGCTTTTTCCCATGTAACTTGAAGAACTTGTATGGGTTTGTTTGGTCCAATCTGGAAGTGGAATTGCTCTGTTAAGTGATGGATGCCTTTTAAGTTTTAATAGAAATAGTTAAATTAGACCTCATCAAGATTCTGTGCTCAATATTTGATCTTGTTTTTAGCTAAATGCACAGTTCTTTTGTGGAAAACAGGCAGTGGGCTATTTCTTGTGACAGACTAAGTTGAGGCTTGGTTTTGCTGTCAGGTAGATGATGACGGTAACATAGTAGGGGCTACATCAGTTTAATTGCTTTTATTTTTCTCTCCTTTTTCTTTTTTTCTTTTATTTATTTATTTATTTATTTATTTATTTATTTTGGACAGTGAGAGAGAGAGACAGAGAGAAAGGTCTTCCTTTGCCGTTGGTTCACCCTCCAATGGCCGCCGCGGCCGGCATGCTGCGGCCGGCACACCGCGCTGATCCGATGGCAGGAGCCAGGTGCTTCTCCTGGTCTCCCATGGGGTGCAGGGCCCAAGCACTTGGGCCATCCTCCACTGCACTCCCTGGCCACGGCAGAGAGCTGGCCTGGAAGAGGGGCAACCAGGACAGAATCCGGTGCCCCGGCTGGGACTAGAACCCAGTGTGCCGGCGCCGCAAGGTGGAGGATTAGCCTACTGCCAGCCTCCTTTTCTCTTTCATTCCCATGTTCAGTTAATGTCCTTTCTCTGTGCTACAAGGTAAAGAATAAAAGGACTAGAAAACAAAGGTGTAAACTGATTGTTTAGCAAACTTGTCCTGGAAAGTAGAAGTAGAAAAGATTGACTTTGCTGACATAATATATATTTGTAATTTTTACTTATTTTCTTCTAATTTAAAACAGAGATTTTAATCTGCTGGTTCACTCCCCAGATGTCCACAGCAGGGGTGGGCATTGGGTACAGTGGTTAAGACACCACATCCCATGTCCACAGTGCCTGTGTTGGAGTCCCTGCTCTGCTCCAGATTCCAGCCTCTGGAATGCACACCCTGGAAGGCAGCGGGTGATGTCTCAAGAACTGAGTCCCTGCCATCTCTGTGGGAGAACTGGATAGCATTCTTGGCTCCTGGCTTTGGCCTGCCCAGCCCTGGCCATTGTGGGCATTCGGGGAGTGAACCAGGAATTTCTCCGTCCTCCTCCCTCCCTCTTTCCCTCCCCCTCTCCCCTTCTCCCCTCCCCCCATCTCTCTCTCCCTATCTCTCTCCCTCTTTCCACTTCTCTATCTCTTTCTATCTTTTAAATAAATTTTTAAAAATTTTACAGGAAGTTGTATCTCAATAAGGCAGACTTCAGTGTTGAAGTCCGTTCAGGCAGGAACTTTTTTCTTTATTTGGTTAAAGTAGGAGAGATAAATGCAAATAGGTAATGATGAGATAACTTGGCCATTTGGGTATTCAGTATTTAGGTTTCATTGGTTAGTACAGCAGTTTTCAACATTTAGGGGCACTTGGGCCAGTATGTGGCCTGGTGGGTTAAGCTGCCGCCTGCAACACCAGCATCCCATGTGGTTGCCAGGTCAAGGCCTGACTGCTCTCTGGTGATGGCCTGAGGAATCCCACAGAAGTGATCCAAGTGCTTGGGCCCTTGCATCCACGTAGGAGACCTGCAAGAAACTCCCGGCTCCTGCCTTAGGTCTGGCCCAGCCCCAGCCGTTGCAGCCATTTGGGGAGTGAACCAGAGGATGGAGGATCTCTCCCTCTCCCTGTCCCTGTCCCTGTCCCTCTCCCTGTCCCCTCTTCCTCTCTCTCCCCCCTTCCCCCTCCCTCCCTCCCTCTCCTTCTCCCTCTCCCTTCTCTTTCTCTGTGTCTGTAACTACCTTCAAATAAAATACATATTTAAAATTAAAAAAAAAATCAGGGGCATCTAAAAGATGCCAGATACTGTGCCATGTGCTTCACATAGCAGATCTCTTATCCTTGAAACCTGTAATACAGGTAAAGGTCACCCTGGCTTACAGATGAATAAACTTGAGACTCAGAATGGTTTAGTAACTGCCCAGTGTTCTGCACACCATATTGTTCCCTCTGTAGAGGGTGTGTGGCTCACACATGAAAGACTCACCGTGTGTTGATGCACCTTTGTCATTTTAGAGGAGTCTTCTATCACCAAAGAATTACTCAGAAGTCTGCAAAAACTGTCGCGAAGCATACAAAGCTCTGAGCAGTATGTACAGTGAAATGCAGAGAATGAATGAACTTGAGAATAAGGCTGAACCTGGGACACACTTATGCATTGATGTGGAGGATGCTGTAAGTGTTTTACTTCCTGTGCGACGCGTTGTTTGCTGTGTTGAATGTTCATTCTACCCTTTGGGAGGTGAATTGGACTTTGTATATGCTGTCTTCAATCAGAATAACTACAGAGTGCCAGAGTATGCTAGTCTCTCACACTGAAATGGACATTAAATCGAGCACTAGTAAGTGAACTGATAATGTGGTACTTTTTTTTTTTAGTTTGAAAATGTGTTTCATTTTCAGATATGTGGGTATTGTCACATGTTTACATTTGAGTTTCTGCTGCACTTGTTGCTAATTCAAGAAGCTTCTAAATTTAACTACAGCTTGTTTCAGAAGCCATCATCAGTCACTTCGTATCACATTGCTTTATTTCTTTACCTCTGTTACCATCTGAAAGCATTTATTTGTAGTCTGTAGCTTCTCTCTAAAATATAAGGACCTAATCATTTTTGTCCACTGTTCAGTGTCTAAGACAATGCCTGGTATATAACCGAGTTTCAGTGAGTATACCCTGAAGGAATAGTCACCATCAACAGAACGCTTTTTCGGCCATTGTATAGCCTGTCTTTACGTGGGGCACCACTAGATGGCAATCATGCCTTTCTAGGCAATATGAGGCTCAAAGTAGAGGACTTGGGGTCAAAATTGCTAAGTTTAACGATTGAGAATAATGAGTGTGAATTAGCACAGCAGCTCAGAGAGAAGTATAGTGGACCAGTAATAATATTAATATTAAGAATAGCAAGAAGCACTTAAAATGGATGTGCCGTGAGGATTTTTGTTTGTTCATTCCTCTTGTTTAGAACAGTACCAAGTTTATAGTAGGCTCTCAATAATAATTTTAAAGGTTTTATTTATTTATTTATTTTCATTGTATTTGAAAGAGACAGAGAGAGAGACATTAACAGAGACGGGTCTTCCATATGCTGGTTCACTCCTAAATACTGGAAACAGCCAGGGCTGGCTGAGCCTAAGCCAGGAAGGAGCCTAGACTCCAGCCAGGAATCCCTTGTCGATGACAAGGACTCAATTACTTGAGTCATTATCTGCTGCCTTCTGGGATGCACGTGAGCAAGAAGTTAGATCAAAAACAGAGTAGACAGGACTCGAACCAACACTCTTGTATGGGAAGTGGGCATCCCAAGCCTCAACTTAACCACACACTGTATGTCTGCCTCAAATAATGAATGAGTTTTCATGAAGTCTAACTATGTGACTGTTAATATAAGTTCTCAGAAAGCTATAAATGATTGACATTGGAGAATAGTTTGGTTAAAGTGATAAATCTGGAATAGGAATTTCCATGTAGATGTACACTTACCCAGTGTCTGTGAACCAGCTTATTTCCCTGGCAAGAAATGATCCTCAACCACAAAGGGATCTTATGGGATGTGTACCTAATCTGTTTGGATAGTAACAAAGTAATTGTAAGGAAGTTAAATATCAACTAGAATCGTGTTTGTTACTGTTGCAGATGAATATTACTCGAAAGCTCTGGAGTCGAACTTTCAACTGTTCAGTCCCCTGCAGCGACACGGTGCCTGTGATTGCTGTCTCTGTGTTCATTCTCTTCCTGCCTGTTGTCTTCTACCTTAGCAGCTTCCTGCACTCAGAGCAAAAGAAGCGCAAACTCATTCTACGTGAGTTTCTTTCTACAACTATTCATTAGTTCAGTTGAAAGCCTGCATTTAAAGAATTTAAGTCCATTTTAAAAATGATATATCCTCTCATGTTTCGAAACATACTAAATAGCTCTCTGCTTGCCATTTTATAATGATGCTTACTAATGGAAAAGATGTGTGAGAATATTTGTGCATGCAGATACTCAAAGGAAGGTTTGAGATGGTTTACATGGGAAGGGTAGATTTCACCCAGAATAAGGCTGGCAACCACAGAGGAGCAGCGCCCAAGACTCTGTGGTCCAGGCACAGCAATGGCAGTGAGACGCAGATGGCTCCTCGGCCGTGCAAACCATCTAAAGTGCAGTAGGCAGGAAGAAATGATAGCTAGTTTGCAGTTTGCTTATGAACATGCTGGAATTGTAGTACCAGGGACATCACTTGACATCTGGTATGTACTCAGGATGTATGAATTCCCCCTGCCAAATAGGGCAGAGCAGAGGAAACATTAACTAAGAGATCCCATCTAGCTGAAGAGGAGTGGCCTGTAAATCATGCAACTTGTTTATCAGCACTACAGGTTTATTTTTTTAGTAATTTTAGTTTTTTTTTTTTTTTATAAATATTTCATTCATTTATTTGAAAGCCAGTGTTACAGAGAGAGAGGGAGAGAGATCTTCCACCCACTGGTTTATTCCCCAAATGGCCGCAACACCACTGCTTGATCAGGGCAAAGCCAGGAGCTTCATCCAGGTCTCTCACATAGGTGGCAGGGGCCCAAGCACTTGGGCCATCCTCTGCTGCCTTTCCAGGTACATTAGCAGGAAGCTGGATCGAAAGTGGAGTAGCTGGGACTTGAACTGGCATCCATATGGGCTTAACCCACTACACCACAGCACTGGCCCCTTAGCTGTTTTTAAAAAGTTTATTTATTTATTTGAAATAAACTTAAGAGAGGGAGAAGCAGATCTTCCATCTTCTGGTTCACTCCCCAAGTGGCCGCAATGGCTGTATCTGGGGGGTCTCCCCCATGGGAGGCAGGGGCCCAAGTACTTGGGCCATCCTCTGGGGCTTTCCCAGGTGCATTAGCAGGGAGCTGAATCAGAAGTAGAGCAGCTGGGATACCAGCTGGCGTCCATATGGCATGCCGGCCCTGCAGGTGGCGACTTTACTCCCTCTGCCACAACACTGGCTCCCTTGCTTGCATTTTACACAGACAGTAGCCATCAGGGGAGACCACTGGTTTCTCACAGAAACCAGAGCAGTGGTTCTCATCCTTGACTGACTACCAGAATTATCTGCAGAACTTAAAAAAAAAAATACAGGTACTTGGGTCCCATTGTAAACCTAACCATTCAGGAAACACTGCTGGGCTGCTTCCTGAGGTCATGGGTAGGTGGCTGGGGCTGCTTCCTGGGGCCTGTGGTTGCCAAGATGCTCAGGATTGCTTGTCTGGTTGCTCCCCAAGGCCAGGGTTGCGTGGACTGGGCCACGTGACTGCTTCCTGGGCAGCAGGAGGGTAGGGGGGGCCTCTTCAGGCTCGGGGTCTGTTTCCCAGAATCTCCTCTGGGTGGGGAGAGGGCATGTGCAGTCTGCGGAGGTGCTTGGAGCAGCTGCTTCACGAGACCCCAAGTGCGGCAGGGTCCTTTGGCGGCTGCCTGCAGCAAGAGCCCAGGTGTGGAGAGTGCGGTGTGGGCGGGCTCTTACTCCCAGCGGTGCAGCCCAGCAGCTTGCTAAGCTGGGGTCAGAGCTTGCAGGGGCCTCAGGGTCTCCAGCAGTAAATATTTCAGGTGTCTGTGACGAGAGTGGAGGCTGCTGGGAACCTCCTGCTTACCCCTCCCCCACCAAATGGAGTCCCTCTTGGTTCAGAATTGAACCTGAGAGGCAGAAGGGCAGATGCTGTGTGCTTCACTCTGTTCTTTATTAGATTATTGCGTATCTGCATGCTTGGCAAGGCCGTGCCCTGTGCTCCCGGCTCCTGGCCCACCCCTTCTGTGACTGGGGGAGTGGTCCGTGGAGGCAGGCCCTTGGGCACATGGCTGAAGAGGTTCCGGATGCTCAGTCCATGGGCAGGTGCACTGGCCTGAGAGCAGGGGCCACAGGGCTTTGCCTCACACGGGATTTCACCCAGGTAGCCCTAGGCCTGCGTTTGGTACTGAAGCCTGGACTTAATTCATTCTCCCTTCTCTAAGGAAGGAGTTGCTCTCCATACTGTGCCGCCTGTAGCTGGGGGAGGGGTGATGCTGGCAACTCTTCCCTTCCTGCCTTCCTCAAGCAGCATTCTTAATGCGCTGAAACCAGAGGCTGTGGTCTCTCACCTGGCTCCCCGCTTCTTTGTAAAGGTAGATTGGTATGTGAATACCATTCCAATTGTAACATGCCTTATTTGCAGCCATATATATTTGCCTGCATATGATATATGTACAAGCCATTTCTACATAATTTAATTTTTTTAACACGGCAGAGTTCTTTCACTGCAGGTTTGTGGTTGTTTTTCTGTATGAAAATAGAGACAGTTTCATTTCTTTCTCCCCAGTATAAATACCTTTCTTTCTCTCGTTCTCACCCTAGTGCACCAGCTACATTGGTGGCATGATCTTGAATATGGGCCCAGATATCCTTGTCTTGTCCCAGACCTTAGGGGGAAGTCATTCAGTCTTTCACAGTTAAGCTGATGATTGCTGTAGAATCTTTGGAGATACCCTTGAACAGGCTGAGGAAGTTTTCACTGAATTGCTTTAAGCAAAATTTAGATTTCAATTTCTTTTTTTTTTTTTTTTAACAGGCAGAGTGGACAGTGAGAGAGAGAGAGAGACAGAGAGAAAGGTCTTCCTTTGCCGTTGGTTCACCCTCCAATGGCCGCTGCGGCCGGTGCTCTGCACTGATCCCAAGCCAGGAGCCAGGTGCTTCTCCTGGTCTCCCATGGGGTGCAGGGCCCAAGCACTTGGGCCATCCTCCACTGCACTCCTGGGTCACAGCAGAGAGCTGGCTTGGAAGAGGGGCAACCGGGACAGAATCCGGTGCCCCAACCGGGACTAGAACCCGGTGTGCCGGCGCCGCAAGGTGGAGGATTAGCCTATTGAGCCGCGGCGCTGGCCTAGATTTCAATTTCTAAGCCAGACTTTTAAAATATGTAATTTTATTATTATACCTTAGAGCACTTTTCTAAGTAGACCACTTTCACCTGCATTACATATTTGAGATTGTGGTGTTCAAGAAGGTGTAAGTGATGTCTGTTTTTGGTTTTTTGGTACTGTTTCTGAAAGTCATGGGTAGTTTCTAACCAAGTTCTATTATCTGAAGTTGGCAGAAAAAATAGGCTTACGTTTTAATTCTTAGAAGATTCAGTCTCTACAGACTCAAGAAGAATTAATAGACAGATATTGTAGTTTGTATAACAATAATGAATAACCATGCATGGAAAATTAAATTTAAGTTAAAATATGCTATCTTTGATTTATGCAGCCAAACGTCTCAAGTCCAGTACTAGTTTTGCAAACATTCAAGAAAATTCAAACTGAAACCTACGAAATGGAGATGCTACGTTTGCACCACGTGGATGAATGGTGAACGACACAGCTTGGTCAGAAAGAAGATAAGCTGTGGCTTGAGGAGTCAAGTTCTTGAGAAATGCAAGGACATCTGATTTATTTTTAAATAAGAATTCTCAATCTTTCTTCCCTTTTCCACTTCTTTTTGTAAGGGTTTGTGTATTTTTAATTTCCAGGAATGGCAATGTTGTCTGTTTGAAAGTGTATTTGTTACAATAACAAAAGACACAAGAACAGTCTTTGCTTTTAGGGTGTGTAATTACTGGTATTTCTTTATTAATGAAATTACCTCAAGTAGGAAAGTTTTTGAAAACTAGGACTTAAAATGTAACCAGTTACGGAAAAAGGCTTTGGAAAAGAAATATACTTGCCAGAAGGTCCTAGGTCCAAAGGTTAAATTCTTCCTATAGCAGTATTATTGCTTGTATATTTAGTACGTTGTATGTTACAATAGTGTGGAATTCAATCTCCACTTTCCCTGAAAGTCACTTTTCAAACCACTAATTATAAGCTTCCATAACAGTTTTTAGAAGTGGTAAAGTCACATCACATTTATCTTTGGATAAAAGATTTTGGTAACTGGTTTCTTACTTAACTTTTATAAATAGTATTTTGCATCTTATTTTTGCCTTTATGTCATAAATAATTTGAAGTCATTGCACTGCTTTATTACATTTAGGGCAAGATGGATTCTTCTTAGGTCAGGAATTTACATTATGAATTACATTAAGTTATTTGGCAATTTATAATTTATTACTACTTTGAATCAGATGTAGCAGTCACACTGTATTTAATTGTGAATTCTTTTTTAATGGAGAAATATGGGGATTTGGGGGGAGAGAAGGAGTACAGAAGCTTAAGGTTCAGGAAGTAGATGTTGGCTGTAAGACTGCTGAATGGTTCACACTGGAGGCATGAGTCGTAATGATAGTCTCATACAACATGCAGGTAGATCAAGATGATGCTTATTTTTAATTATTTGAATTAGATCAAAGTGAAATGATTGAGATGAAGTCATGTATTCATTCGCAGAAAAATTCTGTTTTGGAATATTTGCATTGGTATTTAAAAATAAATGCTTTGTTTCATAATTGTTCACAGTCGTATCTGTCAGGTTTTTAGAGTTGAGGATTCATGTATTAATCCCTTCATGGTTTCTTGCTGGAAGTAGGTTTTGTTTTAAATGTTGAGAATATAAAGTCTCCTCTGTATGGGTGGAAGAGTTGGTAAAGTAATAAGAATTTGAATCCCTTCATCTACTGTAAAATGCTCCACAGAGACAAAAAATGTTTTCTTTTACTGTTTTATGTTTACCGTATACACGGAGTGAAAGAGAAGACTCAGCCTGGTGTGCTCTGACGTGTCCCCAATGTGCTGGGACTCCTTCTCCCGCCATCCTTCTCGCTGCTGCTGCTGACGGCACTGTCTTCATTTGAAGCACATGGTTGAGAGCCATTGAAAGCATCCTTCAGTGCAGAGAGAACCAGTTCACGCGTGGGAAGTTAAAAAATGAGGTATTCGATGCTGTAAGCAGTGACTGTCTCAGCACCTTTCGTTATTACATATTTGCAAAAACCCTTGCTTTTGAATTTAAAGCTAATAAGCACTTTAAAAAAGAAAAGGCAGCCTTTACTATTTGTCTAGTTGGATCATTGCTTTTTAAAAGCATCAGCAATAGATTTCAAAAATAAGTATTAGACTAACAAGTATAAATACTTCATTGTGGAGTCAAAGTGAAAAGTTGCATAGTTCTGGATTCTGAGATGCATAGCTGATGTGTATGCACAAGAATATCTAAGTTTTTTGACCTTAAAATAAAGGCAGTAATTTAAGAACATTGCAGTGCTGTATTTGGATTTCTAAATGCGTTTTGAAAACTTCAGATGTAATTTAATGTCAGAGTCCGGCGTTTCAGGTATAAAGTTTAAATGGCTACTTTAGGGCAAGCATTTGGCACAGCAGTTAGGACACTGCTTGGGATGCTCTGTCCTACATCAGAGTGCCTGGGTTTGAGTTCTGCCTCTGCCCCAGATTCCAGCTTCCTGCTGATGCACTTCCTGGGAATCAGCAAGTGATGGCCTGAGTAATTGGGTCCCTGCCACCACATGGGAGACCTGGTTGGAGTTCTAAGCTCCTGGCTTCAGTCTGGCTCTTCCCCCAGCTGTTGTGGGCATTTGGGGAATCAACCTGTAGATTAAAGATTTCTGTTTTCCTCCCTTTCAAAAAAAATACCTACTTAATTTTTTAAAAAATATTTATTTGAGAGGTAGCGTTACAGAGAGTGAGAGGGAGAGAGAGAGAGAAAGGTCTTCCATCCACTGGTTCACTCCCCAGTTGGCTCAACAGCCAGAGCTGGGCCTACCTGAAGCCAGGAGCTTCTTCCGGGTCTTCCCTGCGGGTGCTTTCCCAGGCTGTAGCAGAGAGCTGGATCAGAAGAGAAGCAGTTATGACCTGAACCAGTGCCCACCTGGGATGCTGGTGCCACAGGCGGAAGCTTAGCCTACTACACCACAGCGCTGGGTGCAAAAATACCTACTTTAAAAGTACCGTCTGTCTTAGAATTTTGCTGCAAATGAAAATGTACTTTTGGATTTGCAGGGTAGGGAGGGGGATTTGAGGATTAAAACTAACATTAGATTATTTATTTATTTATTTGAAAGGCAAAGAGACCGAGATCTTCCATCCACAGGTTTCACTCTCCAAATGTTTCTAACAGCTGAGGCTAAGCAAGGCCAAAGTCAGGAGGCTGTAACTCAGGCTGGCTCTCCCATGTGGAGACTACATGAGCCGTCACTTCCGCCTCCCAGAGTGCATGTTAGCAGAAAGCTGGAATTGGAAGCACAGCCCGGACCCAAATGCAAACACTCCCGTCTGGGATGTGGCCATCCCAAGTGGCATCTCTACAGCACCTCCAGATCCTACCCCGACATCAGTTGTTTTGAAAATGTAACACCACAGGTTAGCTGGTAGATGTTACTCCTATTTGGATCGTATTTTCTTTTAAATACTTATTTATGTATGGGGGGGGGGGAGAGACAGACAGACAGACAGACAGGTGTCCCATCTACTGGTTCCCTCTCCAAATGCCAGCAACAGTCAGGACTCAGGCAGGCTGAGAACTGTCAGTCCAGATCTCCCACATGGCTGGCAGAGCCACAGCTACCTGGCCTGTTTGTAACCACTCCCTCCCAGGATCTGCACTAGCAGGGGGCTGGATTCAGGGTTCAGAACCGGGTACTCCAGCGTGAGATGTGGACATCCTAGCCCGTGTCTTAACCACCATGTCAGACCCCCTCCATGGGAATCAGTGCTTTCTAGTGTTCCACGGGTGGGCTCTGCTCTGTACTGCAGTTTACTCCTTATAAAGTGAGATGTTTCCCAGAACAACATCATAGTTAGGATTGCATTCCTGACCAAAGGCTTGACATCAGATAAATAATACACATCGCCAGCGATGGATTTCTAAAGCAAAAGTAATCTATTAACCTATATAACAATTTTAAATGGCAAATAATTATCTTCCAAGTTCCTGTATTTTCTGAACTAGAAGAAAACTTATGATTATAGAATCCCAGAGCTGGGTGGGCCCCTGGAGACTGCCTGGTCCCACATTCTATCCACTGCATAGATTCCTCTTTTTTTAAAATTTATTATTATTATTATTTTTATTTGACAGGTAGAGTTAGACAGTGAGAGAGAGAAACAGAGAGAAAGGTCTTCCTTTTGTTGGTTCACCCCTCAAATGGCCGCTACGGCCGGAGCTACACTGATCCAGAGCCAAAAACCAGGTGCTTCTTCCTGGTCTCCCACGCGGGTGCAGGTACCCAAGTACTTGGGCCATCCTCCACTGCCTTCCTGGGCCACAGCAAAGAGCTGGACTGGAAGAGGGGCAACCAGGACTAGAACCAGTGCCCATATGGGATTCCTCTTAAAAAAAACACGTAGATGGGCCTTCTGGCACAGTGGGTTAAGCCGCTACTTGGGACACTCACATCCCTTACTGGAGTGCTGGTTTGAGTCTTGGCTACTCGACTTCTGATCCATCTCTCTGCTAATGCTCCTGGGAAAGCAGCAGATGATAGCTCAAGTACATGAAGGCCTGAGTGCTTGAGCCTCTGCCATCCACATGCGAGACCCAGATGGAGTTCGTTGCTCCTGGCTTGGGCCAGGACTAGCCCTAGCTGTTGCACCCATTTGGGGAGTAACCAGCAGATGGAAGATATACCTCTGTGTGTGTGTGTGTGTGTGTGTGTATCTCCCCCGCTTCATGCTCTGCCTTTCAAATAAATAAGTCTTTTAAATAAATAAAAGGAACAGTTGGTTCTTTGTAGCTAGATACTGTAGTTCCTCTGTTGTCCACTTAAATCCTCAGGGTTGTATCCAAAAAGATTTGTCCAGTAGCATTGGAAGTGAAAGGTAATTGTAATTTCTGGGATTATTGTATATAACTGGAGTATAGATGGGATTGAAAATTATTAACTGCTATTCCACTTTGATTTCTGAAGCAGGAAGTAATCAGAAGGGAGGAGAAGGCTTCTGGCCACGTCTGTGTGAGTCTTTGGGAGCAGGGGCCCACACTTGAAGGCCTTGCATCCATTCCTGCTTCCAAACAGAACCAGAGCTATTCCTTCTCTTCCCCCTCTCCTATTAGTACCTAATTGTCTACATTCACTGGGGGTGCCGTTGCCAGCAATTTTGTAATAGAAGCTGAAGCACAAAGGGCTTGACCTTGGCTTTTTTTAAATCCTCTTTGTATCTTGGCTGTCCTCCCACTAAATCAGGCACAGGGTTTATTTGTACAATCCAGGGATACTTACCAGTCAAAGTCCAACACACACACACACACACACACACACACACTTCTTTCACTGCTTTTCTCCTATAGAATTGGAGAATTAGCAACATGGTGTGGACAAGCAGTAGCCATAAGGATAGCATAAATGGGGAGGGGAGCAATTAGAACCTCAGAC